TTTTAAAATGTTTAAGAAGCTTCATTTAAAATTAAATTAAAATGCAGAGCCCCCAGGACCGGTGGCCAGGACCCGGGCAGTGTAAGTGCCACTGAAAATCAGCTCGCGTGCTGCCTTTGGCACGCATGCCATAGGTTGCCTACCCCTGCGCTAAAACAAAAGAAATGTCCTCATTCACAAGTGAGATGCTGCTGCTTTAAAGTAAGATTTCAGATAATGCTCATTTCCTCAAACTGAAGGAAGGATTTCGTTTTTAAGTGATTTATAAAAAAAAATTAAAGGCTATATTATAAATGTAAAAATGATTTGCAAGGGGGATTAAAGCCACTTAAGGGGAAATTTAGCAAACTACAGGTTTTGCATTTAACTTCTTACCCTGCATGTACCTATCACTGAATGATACAAATCCACAGTTTTTCCCCAAATTGGTTTCTTACCACTTCTTAAGATTGTTCATCATTAGTAAGTCTTCAAACTGGCTGGATTGTTTTAAGATAGTGAAGTAAAATAAATAAATATGTATGTAAAATCTTCTGTTAATCTCCATAGTCTAAAACACAACAGTGACCAAACCTATATATAAAAGAGATCTGAAGACTAAAGAAAGATTGCTAGTTAGATCCTTTATTATAACATTGGTCCCTGATTTTAAAGCAAAGTAGCAAGAAAGGCAAAATGGATCAAGATTAAAAATTCATGACAGTGACTTGATAAATATTTAAATGTATATTTTAATTACTTTCCTATTGAGGATGGTGTGTGCAAATAATACTTGCATCCTATGACTGTCTAATCACCAATTATTTATATAGCATCAGAGGTGAGCTAGGTATTATTATACCCATTTTATATATGGGTAAACTGAGGCACGCAGACTAAGGGTTGGATTATGACTGGCTTTGCATATATGAGCTGAGTGAGTAAGGTGCAAAGAGCCTTCTGCTGCCTGTATCCCCCTGCAAAGTAGCTAGACACAGTTGTAGACCACCTCAAAATGGGTGGGGAGAAAACAGGGCTGTGTAGCTGTCTGGCCTCAAAGGGAAGCATATGCTGCACCCTCTGGAAAGAATGCACGGCAGATGTTCTCCTCCCATGCCAGGGTGCTCTGGGAGATATTGTGCCTCCCTGAGCTACCTTACCTCCCAGAATTCCTACTGGGGCAGTGTGGCCCTTCATCTCCCACCTACTGGGGGCTGTACCTTAATGACACAATCTGTCCGTAACTGTCTAGCCCTGGCCACACAATGAATTGTTGGCAGAGCGAGGACCCTAAAGCCCTAACTCCCATTTTCCTGGCCTGACCCCCAGACAACAGTCATCCTTCCTAGCCAACTACACTACCAAGAAAAAAAAAGGAGTTTCTTCTTGTAAGAAGGAGTGAATACAGTTCCACGGATATCTATCACTATATTGCTAATACTTATACAAAAGCTAACTCAGCAGCCTTATAGGAAGAAGATCACCACACCAAGTTAGCAGATAAGTCTGATTCAGGATCCTATTAAAGTCAATGGGAGTTGGATTGGTCTCCAAACTGTGCTTGACTTAGTAGCACAAGTAGTCCTGTTAAAGCCAACAGGACTACTTGTGTGAGTCGGGCCTGATCTAAACATGCAGTTGTACTGATTTAACTAAAGGTGTGTTTTAAAGTTAATTTAGTTAAATAGATGGAACTTTGCACGTGGACACTTTTAAATCAGGGACTATCTTTTTGTTTGGTTTTTGTACAGTGTCTAGCACAATGGAGTTCTGGTCCTTAACTGGGCCTTCTAGGCACTACCACATTACATAAAATAATAATTTAAACCTGGCGTTGAAACGGTAAATTTACAAAGGAAAACTAAGCTGATACAATTAGTTTTAAACTGATATTAGTTTGGACAATTTTAAATAAACTGGTAAAGGAGTGCATTTTTGTGTGTAGACAAGCACTCCGGCACATAGCATTTGCCTCTATAAAGGACATCTTGGTTGTAGCAGAGCAGGTCTGGCCTCACCCTCCTTTTTTTTTTTTCTATAGAGCCCTATTATGGTTTTGTTTTGTTAAAACCTGTTTAACTAAAACTCCCAGCATTAAACAGCTGAGAGAAAATCTGTCTGTGAAAAAGTTGTTGGACTGCATTGGATGTTTTTGCCAGCCTACCTGTCATTAGGATATCAAAGTGTAGCAAGTGGGGTGATATGAACAAACACAACATAATATCTGGTTGGTTGGTTGAATGGACAAAGGAGCCTTTAGAGTTCCATTGGATAATCTGCATCAATAGAGGAGAAGAGTACCAGCCCTCAAGCACTTCAAGCCATATACTGACCTTAAGACGCACGCATTTCTCTTACTGCTGTCCATAGTAGTGCCACAAATAGATTGAAGACAATATATGGTCGCAGAGCCATTCATAAAGTAGACACAAAGGTGGTTAACTGTGCTCTGAGAATGGTGGCAGCCATTTTGGGGAAGAACTCTAGAAGAGAAACCAATGTTGGAAACTACCAAACATGAGACTTTCTTCCTCAAAGCAGCACGTGTGGATACAACAGCAGTTGGCTACCTCAGAGAAGCCAGACTCAGGCTTGCCGTTTTCTAAAAGAATTTTAAAGATCACAAAACTGTGTGGGGCAAGGTGACTCTGGAAATTGATAATTGACTAACAAGCCTTTCTTTGTGTCTTGCCAGTTTGAATCCAGTTTAGGCTGGTAGTTACCAAAAGACACAAACATCTCATGGCTCTTTGATGGCTTCAGTCCAGTACCAGGTGTTTGTGTCTCAGAAACTGCCATCATAGTTGCCATTAACAAGTGCTTTATTTGGCAGTCTTGTCAGAGAGACCAGTGATTGGCTGAGCATGGAGATTGAACTTCCTTCTAACTCCTAGAGGTGGTCCTTTCTGGGAAGGTTGAGCTATGTTGCCAAAGCAACATGGAGAAACTTGTACTTCTGCTATTCAGGTTGCACCTGCTCTGTAGATTGAGGACCTCAGACTCTGGCACCTTTCACCAACATTGAATTCAGATAAAAAACAACAGTTCTTTAACAAAAATTACAGAATTTCACTGAGGGACAGCCGGGGAAAGGAGAAGCAGCAGTGGTGATATTATATTGCTGTTAGCTGGGGAGGGAGAGGCTGGGTGTGGGGAAACCAGCTGTGACACTCTGTCTCTATCTCGAATTTCAGTCTCAGTAGAATGTCGGGCGTAAGCTAGTGTCTGAAAGCTACCAGAAAACAAACTATTCAATGTCCTAATGCTGAAGTGCAACGGAAATAGCTTGAACTCATCCTATTCTGTCTTGAGACTGTAGCAAAAAATAATGATGGATAAGACTAATTAGCTTATTTAGACCATCCTTGGTCAGTGCATGGTTATTCTCTACAACATATTTATTAGTGCTCCATCCAGTCTGATTTTAAATTAGAATTAAAATGTCTAAACAATGGGGCTTCCACTACTTCCTGTGGAAGATCATACTACAGTCTAATAGACCTTGTGGTCAAGAAATGTTTCTTGATAGCCTAAATTTTCCTTTGCATGATCCCATTACTCCTCAATATATACATTTTTCCTACCCTAAATTGTACACATCTTGTACCCATATAAAAGTAACTTTATATTTAAAAGAGCTGTTTTCATTTATTCAAACTGTATTTCAATTGTTAATTTACACAAGTCAGACTATGTTGCTTGCGGGGGATTGTTAACACTTTTTTTCCCATCTGGGATTGCAGACTCTCACAGACAGGTATGAACCATCTACTTCACTCCAAGGAAACAGCTTTTTTTCCCATTCGTGAAAGTTTATTGGTATCAGCAGTAGGTAGGCTGGATGACACCTACACACACCATTCATTACAAGGTAACTGAGCACATGCACTTCAGCATACATTCCCCAAGCTGAATCTACAGTACCTTAGTAACACTGGCACACCGTTTTTTTTTTTAAAAGAAAAAACTATACACGTTGCTGAAGTCTCCTCTTTCCCGCTCTCTGCTTTTTTATGCCAATAGTCTCTAATAAAATTCTTCCTTAATATTGGGCAATTTAAACGAAAAAAAGGGAACTTCTCATCAAATTGATGGAGTCATTACTCTTATATTTTATTTATTAGTGCGTGTATTTATATCTTTAATTTATATAGCACTTGTAATCTCCGATACCTTTACAAACATGTATATGAACTATTCACGGGGATCATTTTCCATTACTGACATATAATCAACTCTAGAGTGATAATGACAGCTCTTTAAGGCCTGATCCAAAAGTCATTGAAGCCAATGGAACTCTTCCCATTGACTTCAACAGACATTAGTTCAGGCTCTAAACCGTACACAAAATGCTATACAAAAATGTAGACGTGATGAGAAATATTGCATCTCATTGAAACAAAGAGAAATAGTGACAGAATGTAATGATACATTTGGGATTTGACCAGGACACTAGAGTTAACACCCTCCTTTTGCAAAAAGCATTATGGAATGTTGAATGACCGCAAGTGTTCAGGACATCAGTTTTACATCTCATCTAAAATTATCACCTTCGGTGCATAATTTCCACCCCCTGCCTCAGTGTTCCAAACACCTGGCTGTGGGTATTGGTTTTAATACTGATTTAGAAATACGAGAGCCACTGAATTACCAGTATTGTTTCCTCTCACACCTAGATGTTCCTTACAGGTCTCTTATCCAAGTACTAGTCTGGTTTAGATTGTAAGATCTAATGGCATCATAAAGTGTGGTGGTTTGACTACAGTCCGCTACTGAAACATCAGGTGAAGGATGTCAAAGAAATATTTTTAAAAGGGGAAACACTTCTGAAGTGTTTCATCAATAGACCCATCTTCTAGAGTTCAGTGGTCATCAAAAATGACAGAATATTTCAGGACTTGAAGGCACACTGTCATTTATCCCTTACCCAAAAAGCATAGTTTAACTTGTTGTTCGCTGTGGTAATTCTTCTCATTTGGGGTATTTGGTTTCTCCCATGCTTTTGATCCTTTATTTCATAGGTTGAAGGGGACCAATTGCCTCCAGGACATACCGTCAGCCAGTACGAAACATGTAAGATCAGAACAATAAAAGCTGGCACTCTGGAGAAACTTGTGGAGAACCTGCTGACGGCTTTTGGGGACAATGACTTTACCTACATCAGCATCTTTCTGTCAACATATAGGGGCTTTGCCTCTACTAAAGAAGTACTGGAACGTCTCCTCGACAGGTAAGAGTTAGTGGGTAGCTATAGAGAAAATAATAATATGGAAAACTGTCATGTTATGTACATGATGAGGAATATTGAAAGGAATTAGCTCAAATGTATTGAAGATGTATTTGAAAGGCTACATGATATTTAGATATTTCAAAATCAGTGCTGATTCCTACAAGCTTGGAAAATCCAGTATTTCAGCTTAACCATTGGGTTGATAAGTGTCTCTCCGCCTCACTTCATAACGCCATCGCCGCCAAATAGGGAGAGATGGCTAGTTTGGGCTACTAAAGAACCAAATTGTGACTACTCTAGGAGAAGTGGCATAACCAACCCCAAATAACTGAACAGATATGCTGCAAAGTCAGAGTTATCACTGAATTCAAGCCATTAGTATCCCCTGGCACAGTCTCCTGTATGCAGGCTACACAGAAGGGGCCATTGCTGTGTCAAGACCATAGACTGTACAGGCGTGAGCATACAAGCCTGTTCCATATCTACTACACTGGGCCAGAATACTCATCTTTATCTCCTGTCGTGAAAGGACAGCAGATTGGCCTTTTTGATTTTTGAAGGAAGCCATGACACAGGCACTGTTTTTTTGGAGAGCTCAGTGGTTCCAGAATCAGGGCCGGCTCCAGGCACCAGCTTGCCAAGCAGGTGCTTGGGGCGGCCACTCCGGAGAGGGGCGCCACCTCCAGCTATTCGGCGGCAATTCGGCGGACGGTCCCTCACTCCCACTCGGCGCGAAGGACCTCCCGGCGAATTGCCGCCGCAGATCGCGATCGTGGCTTTTTTTTTTTTTTTT